TAGGACACCAGATGTCTCACCACGTTCCACACGTAAAACACAGTGCTCCACCGTGTAGGGGGCCTTCTCTCATCCCCTGGCATCCTGGCAGAAGTCGGCGGAGCCACGTTGACGTTGGGATCCTCTTCCAAACTCGTGTTGTTACTAAAACTCACAGAAGGTACTCCATCATTGTCTAGAACAGTTTGATTTCCCGAGAACGACGAACCAGGTTCGTTATCCTCGTCCACCGCCTCCTTCAAGAAGCTGTAAATTCCCATTAAAGTAGTATCTTCTTTTTGTATCGAACTCCTGGGAGTAATCAACCTACTATCTGGACCTGTAGTCCCGCTGTTTCGATGTAAAAGGAGGCTGGTTATCTCGTCCTTTAAGTTCTCAATTTGTTGAAATGTATCTTCAGAAGCGGGATTTGGTGAGGCTATGCTACTTTTTCTCAGCGCTGATTCATCTTCTGCTTCGGGGATGGTATCGACGGAGGGATGACGTGATAACTTCGGAGCAATATTCAAGTCATTCACATGTGGTTCGTCGGCTTCAAATTTTTTGTGACGGGATATGAAATAGTTGTCATTTCCGACATGGAGTGTATCCTTGATGATATATTCATCATTAGCTGATAGGATTACCAATGGATTTTTTGGCAATGAAGAATTACTTGCCTTTTCTACCTCGGGATTTTGATTGGTAGGAATAGGCTTTAGAGTTGATTTGTTTAGACTTTGTTCATCCGATATAGCTGTATGTTTTTGTTTGTAAGATAGGGATGTTGAGAAAGCATCGGCATCATTTACTTTAGACGAATTACTACTAGAGGGCATTGTCTTTTCTTTGTTCTTTGGAGACGTCTCAGTATTATGAGCATTGGACGTTTTAACATTTTGTTGTTCCGAAAACGTCTCACTAATTTGTGAAGGATAGGGACTCTTTGAAGTTGTTATATTAGCAGTGAACTTTGAACTCTTTGAATTTTCCTCATTATCATTGAGCTTTGGACTCAATGAATTTGCCCCTTTCTCAGTTGATTTTGGACTCTTTGATTTTTCAAAATCATTTCGGCCCTGAGGTTTTGAAGTTGGATGTGGAATTGTTAAACTTGGGCTACCTGCTCGCTTGAAAACTTCAGCGATTTGAAAACTCAGGACATCTGGCTTGTCTTGTGGTACTGTTTCAATGGCTGGATCATTTGGCTTCTTTGAGGGATCTTCTTCGCCCTTTGATTGGATGTCCTGTAGAGATGTCGCGGCATCAGACAATGAATCATTGCTAGAACCAATGAATTCATCTGCCTGATTTGGAAATTTATTTACAGTATTTTGGGTTACATATTCTAGAATTCGTTTGTCTAAAATAGCGGTGAGGTATTCTTGTATTGATGCGCGATTTGAATATGCTCCAATATCTTCAACAAAGCTGGATTCATCACTAATATCAAGTATTGCTTCTACAGCCTGTTTTGATAGGTTATCAGTAGTTTTTGAATTTGGTTCATGTATACTTTTTTCTCCCGAGAATGTATCACTGCTTTGTGGCATGTGATAGCTTTTTGTTAACGACGCAGTGTCGTTTAACTTTGATTCATACAAGGTAGGTGATTTCGCATTATTCTCACCAGGATGTGCTATAGTAAATTCCGGACTGTCAGGTAGTTTTGACGCCTCTGAGATTTGAATCTTGAGAACACCCGGTTTTTCCTGTTGTTTAGCCGTTATCGCTGAAATTTTCGGTCTCTGCGGAGCGAGTGAAACTTGGGGAATTTTTATTTCAGCTTTGCCCTGAAAACTCCTTGGTGTTATCTTTTTTACAGGCACGGTCTCCTTACGAAGGGTGTTTCGTGCTTCCAAGATACGTGTCTTACCAACCTCGCAGCTTTCACGTGAAGATGGTGAATCCTTGGGAGTAGGGACCGTACTCGGTTTAATATCCAGCACAGCCAACTTTCCCAGGGATTTTGTTGATATTGTCTGCGAGTGTTGTTTGCTCGGCTGAAGCGGCTTCTGCGGGATTTCAATCCCGAAGGTTTTTTGTTCACCGGCGGAGGTTGTGGGTATTTCGGGTAAAGTATGTCGACGAATCGCGTTCGATTCTTTCCGAATTTTTATTTCTTCTATTCCAGGCATGGCGATTAATGACGGGATGGTCCTATTAGTATATTCAAATGTTGGAGGCGATTCTTTTTCAACATGAATTTCAAGAAATGTGTCTTTTTCTTGTGATATGAACGAAAGTTTAGGAGAAGTCGTTGGCGTAAATGGGGCTACTGATTCATAAGAATTTACTTCCGGGGTATCTGATAGGATTTGCTGGGTAAGGAGTTTTTTCGCGTTAAACTTTAGCGAACTTGATGCTCCTGTATGTTTGATTACTGCAGAATTCGAGGCTTGGGTGGGTTTTTTATTCTTAGGTTCGATTGAGTGATTCAATTTTCCCGGGGTTTGTTTTTTATATACACCAGACGAGTCACGTGATCTTGATTCAGTGCTTGGTACGATCGGAACAGCTGGTTGAAATGTTGTATCATCCGTTATAACGTCTTCTAACTGTGATTTATCTTGTAATACACTTGTGTCTTGAGTGAATGATTTCTTGATCATAGATTTAACTACATCTACAGAAGATGTCGTTAGGAATTTATTTTTCTCCTGAGAAACAGAATTTTCATTCGAAGTGGAACAGTTCTCTAAAGGATCGGTTGTGTCTGACTCGGGAAATCTAGTTTTATTTTTTGAAGTTGGTTTTAGACCGGTCGGTGAGGCTGAAGGATTGGATGTATCAGGAACTAGCGATTCAGGAAATAAGGCTTTTTCTTCTGAAACAGACGATGCTTTTGAACTGGTCGGTGCAGCTAATGAATATGACTTATCTACAGTCTGTGATTCATCAAGTGTGTTTTTTTCTGATGTAACTGGTGCTATATTTAGTCTGGTCGGTCTGTTTAAAATGTGTGAAGCCTCCTCTGGTTTTACTTTCTTAAAAATTATCCTACTTTGTGATATGCTTGAATAATCCTGCTCCTGAGCAGGCTGCGATTCATTTGCGATTTGAAATCCGAGATTAGTACTTGTATACTGTGGAGTGGGTGATGTACATTTATAAGTAGATCCGCTTAAAGGATTTGATTCCTTTTCACTTTGTATTTCTAAAACTGAAGTTCCGTCCTGTGGCGCGACTACTTCTAGGTTATTTTCTTGTGGTCTATGTGAATCAAACAATGAGTTCTGGCTTAAACTGAGATCTGAGGCAAAAGAATTTGGGTTTCCTGATTCTATGAGGGTCACCTCCTCGCCTTCTTCTTCCTCCTCTGATGTTACGCTTGAAGGAGCGGTATCCGTAAACAAGAATACAAGGTCCTCATTTTTCGGGGTGTTTAGATATTTCAATCTCCTCTCGGGGGTCGGGGTGTTTTGTTTTAGAGGCACCCTTGAGGCTAGTGACAGCCCCACCTGACGACACAATTCCTCCTCTGTAAGAACCTTCTCCTTAACTCGGCTAAAATCTTCCTCTTTGACTCGGCTAGGGTCTTCCTGAAGCTTCTCTTTGACTCGGCTAGGGTCTTCCTGAAGCTTCTCTTTGACTCGGCTAGGGTCTTCCTGAAGCTTCTCTTTGACTCGGCTAGGGTCTTCCTGAAGCTTCTCTTTGACTCGGCTAGGGTCTTCCTGAAGCTTCTCTTTGACTCGGCTAGGGTCTTCCCGAAGCTTCTCCTTCCGGACCTTGCTCAGATCTTCCAGAATCTTCCTTTCGTCGTTCTGGGACTCTACGGCTGGAAGATATTTTGTATTGGTTACATGGGCAGATGTTCCGGTATTTAACTGTGGTGATGGCGTTGTTAATGTTGTGAAAGAGGGAGGGTCAACCTCCGACATGGTCGCACCGCCTACAAAAGTATCGATTTGTAAAAATCAATACTTTAACAGCATTAAGCCAACATGATGTTGTTCTAACTAATCACGACTAATGTATTAAACTTGCCGTTTTAAACTGTAACGAGTTAATCAATGGTTTGGGGAAAATCAAAAATGTTCTTGGTTTATTGTTGCTACAATCATAACTGAGTTCACTTATACTACAAAAAGTAATATCCACAATATACAACGATATAGGGGACAGCAAAGCGGATGACCTGTTTAGTTTATACGTAAATACGACACCAGTTGTTTTTGTCTTTTTATAAATGCATCTGTATTAGGATCTGGTTTTGGATCCGAATTAGGATAAGGTCTAAACGTACGTATATAATAACCTTTCGAACCCCGTGCAGATGAAGTAGAGTTCGCCTGTTTCTGTGACATCTATGTTTATGTGGAGAGTTAGGCCCTACCTTCCCTAGCTTTAGGTTAGTCAGGTACCCATCAGAGCTGGGTGGACTCAGGACTACTTGCGACTACGGACTCGAGCCAAGGCTTCGAACTCGGGACTTCCGTGTTAGTAGTTAAATGCTCTACCATCCGGCCACACCGTCCCGTTAGGTAAATACAGTTAAGGGTTACATTTTGTTTTCCACTAGAATTAGACTTATGATTAGGGTTAGGGTAATGAGTTATATTATAGAGTGAAGATGAAGGTTACAATTTGAAACTTTAGCACTATATTTAGAACTCTGCCTACTTAAGCATTTTTTTATTGACAAAACTAGCTCAGATAATAATTCTTAAACTAATACTAATACTAATACTAATACTAATGCTAATGCTAATGCTAATACTAATACTAATACTAATACTAATACTAATACTAATACTAATACTAATACTAATACTAATACTAATACTAATACTAATACTAATACTAATACTAATACTATATATTTACTAATAATTATAATTATAATGATAATAATCTTGAGTATAAATAATTGCAATTAATTAGATCTATATACATCTATTTCTCATCCCCAAGTTGTAGAATACTGGCTTTAATTGTAACATAATTAAACAAAGCATATTAATGCGACCTTACCAATTAAAAAATATATTCTAAAAAATACAAATGTAAAGACGCTTTAAAAAGGCGCCATGTTGAATAGGAAGTCAGAACTTTTTTTGTTTTCTTTCCAAACCACCCAATTAATCAAAATGTTACACCACGGAGAGAGGAAACAAATTATTTTTTTTGAGTTGGGTATGTAAATTTTAATTTGGGAGGCTGTAATTTTTTTTTCTGTCTGACACTAATAAGGGATACGCTTAGAATAAAAGGAGAAACATGTGCATTTGTGTTTCGTTAAATCAATGACGTTTTTTGAAATGTTTTAACATTTGAATAAACAAATCCTAAATATTGAGTTAACTAGCGAAATCGACTGCGTATTTAATACTAGGGCCAAAGATTCGAGATTCGTATACTTTGAAAACACATGTGTTTGATTTTTTTAACAAAGCTACATTTAACAATTTGATAGTAGAGGACATCTTATATTCATCATCACATTTTACACGTTCGTCGCCATGACACACGGCGTAGATGAAGCAGAGTACATCTGTTTCAATGACCTCAGTAAACATGGTAATAGTGTTCTTGTTACGACGCCCAAACAGTTCCATACATTTATTATTAGAACTTAATTTGTTTAAAGTTATACATTCGTAAGAGATAATACATCGCTTCTACGATTCGAAAATAGTGCTGATATGCAATATCACATACAGTTACCACCTTTTTTCCTATTCAGTGGCGTAGCGAGGTCGGGTGTCACCCGGTGCGGTCAACCCCCCTCGTAAGAAAGTAAATATATATATATATATATATATATATATATATATATATATATATATATATATATATATATATGTATATATATGTGTGTGTGTGTACTTCAAGCACAAGGGGAGTAACTCTCCTCTTAAGTTAATAAAACAAAACAAAAAAGACTGACGTGAACATCTTTTATTTAATTTAGTGATTTTTGGTATGGTTCATGAATGCTAAGCTGGAGGGATTTAGACCCATTGACGATATGTTAAGTAGGTTGGGGGCGTGAAAAAAGCGAGGGGGGGTGGTTTATCTAAAATAAAACATATCCTCATTAAGCATGCATTTCCCAATTTCGGCTTAAACATCGGACGGAATGGGCCTAGCATTAGAGAGCTGAACTGCGAATCCGGGTTCAAGTCTATAGACCGTCCCTGAGTCCACCCAACTCTGATGGGTACCTAACTGACGTTAGGGTAAGTAAAGGCGGCTGGGAATAGTGCTGACCACACTATCTTTTTATATGTCGAGGTCACAGAAACAAGTAATTTCTACTTCACTTGCCCCGTACCAGAGGCGTAGCGACCATTCCCGGCGCCCGGGGACAAACTTTCAATCTGGCGCCCCCTCGGGAGCAAATTTTCAATTTGCACCCCCACCCCTCAAACTTTCGATTTGCACCCCCTCCCCATTCAAACTATAATTTGTTTTTTCAACCCATTTTGGTGCCCCCTAAGGTCGGCGCCCGGGGACATATGTACCCCCCCCCCCCTCGCTGCGCCTCTGCCCCGTACCCCGTCAGGTTTGAAAGGGAACTTTACTATATAAACTTTACTACTTATTTTGTTCTTGTAAATATCCTGTATCAAAATCATATTTCGTTGTTTGATTCTCTAATGTGTAGAGTTAAAATAAAATACTAATTTTCATCAACGAGTGCTTACATTTCTCGTCTATCAATGAACAATACCATGTATATTACTTTCCATTACATTGGATGTGATTCCTTAAAACTCATATTTTAAACTAGAAATGTCCAGGCAAAATAATTTTATTATAACTGTTAATATTTTTATTCGATTTTCGAAAACACACCAGGGGTGAACTACTGCAATAAAAATATTTTTGTGTCGTAAAATCGCGTCTTGTTTCGAAGGGACGCAACCTTTGATTTAATCATATACGAGTTTAAACAAATTATTATCTCCCTTTATGCTATTCAGCACTTTTCTGCGGCTAAGCATGGACAAGTGAGTTATCATTAATTATTTTTATTATTAATTATTTCCATACACATTCTTAATAAGTTATTCCGAAATAATGTTTCACGACTACATAACCTGAAGCGCATCCGCAATTTTACCCCAAAACTAAGGTTTCATTTGTGATTTATTCCTTCACTAATGTAGTAGTCTACGCAATGAATTGACAAAACTGTGCATGATATATCTACAAGTTACATCTATAAAATAGACATCGGTCCAGTTTATCATAAAAATCATCATTATCCTCATCGCTATCATCAACGTCATCAATCGTCATCATCACCACCATCATCATCACATTTATCATCAGCATCGAAGCCATCATTACTATAATTATAATCATTATCATCATCATTATTACCACCATTCATCATCACCATCCTCCTTCTATTCATCATCACCTTTATCATCAGCATCAACGTTATCATTACCATCATTAAAATCATTATCATCTTTATTATCATCATACATCTTCACCATCCTCCTCCTCTTCATCATCACCTTGATCACCTTCTGCATCGTATACATCATTTGCTCAAACGAAGATTTGATGTTTACAGCTAAGCACAAAGCGTGGACAGCAAGTTGAGGAAAGCCCATATACTGGGCCTACTCTCTCCACATAAATGTTGGGACAACCTCGAGTCAGATACCCATCCTAGTTGAGTAGACTAGGTGTTAGTTTTTTTCTTCATTACAAACCAGTGATTGGTTCGGTTAAGTTACTGGTTGCTGAATCTATAAGTCCCGAGTTCAAACTCGGTTAGATGAGGCTCGATAGCTGGGGACAACCACTCATGTAGGACAAAAATAAACAACAGCTGCCTTTTTTGTAGTTTTTGCTTGGTTGGACAAAGGCTGTGGAAGAAAATTTAAAAAAAGCAGTATGCAATCAGAGTTTACGGCCTATATTGAGCATAACCTGTTGACACGTATACTTCAAAGTGTTGGAGGGAGTCTCTTCGGAGACTAAAATTAAAAAGGAAGAAGAAGAAAAAAGAATAACAAAACTCCTTAAAAACACGCAACTGCATTTTTTGTCACTTGAATGTAGCATATAATTCTAAAACAAGAAACACACATTTAATATTTTGCTATTGAAAATTATATTTTTCAGCGTTGTTATTGGAGATGTCGCCTACTTATTTGGAAATAACTGCGGCGTCACAAGCAAAGTGAAATTCACATTAACAGCTAGTATACTTTCGAGGTTCACTTTTTTAGGTATTTCAGGTGCAAATAAATACTAGCAAATGACATTCAAATGATGTATTGTATTTTATAATGTGACCACATGTAAATGACAACCATAAACCATTGCATTAAAACTTGTAAAATACATTATGTTTGCTTGGTCTGATATGAGAAATTTGTAATAAAAAATTCTTAAACATTTACTTTTAAATTTTCTCTCTTTGAACACTTCAAAGTGTAAGAATATTTTATTAGAAAAAATAACAACCCGATTTGTAAATATGTCACCAATAAAAAAATCACATTAATGAAGCAATGTAATTATCATTAACGTTATTTACATGATTATAAATATGAGTTTTAATTTCGATATATACGTATTTAAACGTGTTCTGCTTACCTAAAAAATACCTCAAGAAAGAAAATATCGAGATCAGTCTATTGAAATTTCCCTCAAATTACAAACAGTAACATTTGTAGTTAATATTTTACTGTCCCAGATTGTACATAAATAAATATCACAAGCAACAAACTACTACTAATTTAAGTGAGAATCTATTCTCTATTAATCTATTGCGTATAAAAATCGTAGCAATAATTTATCTCTATAAAAACAACGTATATTTCTTTTGTCTCAAAATATCCACGATTAGAGTATTGTGTCTTTCACTTACTTAATTATATTAACCTTCATCAGGATGCAATAGTAAAATGTCATAAGTCTTGTACTGAGTATTTTCACCAAATAAATGGGTGCATATGTAGTGTGCTAATATTTTGCTAATACGTTCATCAGAAATCACATATCACGCTAACAGTCAATGGACACAATTATGCTTAAAAACCACAACAAAGATCAAACAAGTTTCATACATTTTAAATATTCGAAAAGTATGTTTAAAAACATGTAACAAACGTAGTACGTTATGAACAAGCATTTTAAATACCTTAACACTCCCAAAATAAAGCTGTATATTTTTAAAAAATAAAGTACGCAATGAAATCATGAGTAAAGTGTCTTTAAAAACCATATCACACGTAAAAAGGTATATTTGAATACCTTAAAATACATCTAAAACAATGGGACTAGGATATATTTTTTTACTACAAAAAATAACACACTTATAAAATGTTACGGCTATCACAAGTCTGTGGGTTTGTAACACGTATCTTTATGAGACCACTCCCTAATGTCAGGAATTATTTTAACCCTCTTGTCCGTATGAACTTTTTCACATATATCACACCAGTCAAATTTCCTGTTCAACATCGCTAGTTTATCTTTTTCCTTTAGCATTTGTGCGTATCTCAATATGTCATTTCCTAAATCGATCAGATACTTTGCTAATTCCGTATTGTTAGAAAACTGTGAAGAGTCTACAAATCCGCCAGGCGGAATATATTTCTGGTAGTCGAAACCGCCCCGCGCAATAGGAATGACATGCAGTCTTTCGGCGAAATTTCGGTAAAATTTTTCCGTCAGGTAATCCTTACAGAGTGAGTTCTCGAAGCTCAGGTAGAATTTGTAGGTTGTTGTAAGCATCTGCTCACACTGACCCTGGTTCATGGGACATTTCAGAGTGCCACATTGACCATATATGTCCACGTCCATATATTCCTGTGTACAATAAAGTAAATTGTTGTTTAATCCAAACATTGAGAAGGCCTATATAAAAATTCTGTTTGGTCAAAAATCAAAATTATGTTTACAATTAGATTTTTAAAAAATTCTAAATCCCTTATAAAATAAGTTAGCGGAACTTAAAAATAAGTTTTAGACACTTTATTCTTCGTTTTCTTTTATATTTAATAAAAGAAAAATTCAATACCAGTCTTAAGTATCGCAAACATAAAAATAAATGAAATCAGATTTCTAAAAAAAAAAACTGGACACATTGTCGTTTAAACAATTAAAAGAAACACACCGACAAGTAAATTATTCGTAAATGAACAGTAGATGGCATGTTTGATTCAGAATTATTAAATCTTTAATAACATAGGGACGATTATTTCGATCTTATAAGTCAAGATGTGCTTTCCCTCCCCCTTCAACACCCTTTAATCTACCCGAAGACAGCTGTCTGAATATAACTATTCAAACTTATTTCGAGCCCAACCGTCGACACTAAAAATTAAAATTTTATTAAATAAATAAATCAGTCTGTTATTTGCGTTATAATATCGATTAATGTTTTAGTATTTGTCGCGCTTACAATGTTCATGTTGATTAGCTGTTAAATCTATATGCAATTCTCTACATCGCTTAATAGCCGGCAACATGTTTGGTGAGACTGGAGTGGATTTGTACTTTATGGCAAAAAAAGTGGCTATAATATAACAGGCTTGAAAAGTCTATGTAATTATACTTAAAACCATAAAAAACACATGGTAACCGATAAAATTTTAGTTACATTTTAAAAACTTTAATGACGTTTGGAAACCTTAAATTGCACTCATTTTCATATTTTCGTATTGAATATAAGACGTTGAATAGCCGTTTAGAATTATTTTATAAATTAAATTATTTTAAAAAACCGCCCTCAACTACTTTGCGACAATGTGAAAACACCTCCAGTTCTAATTCCTAAAATTTTATATATATATATATATATATATATATATATATATATATATATATATATATATATATATATGAGATTTTTCAAATTACCTTATTACACAATCATGTTTAAAATCTTGTTGAATTTTCAATCCTTCTTCCACTCCCCACCTCCCAACCCCTCTCAATATTCACCCTGAGCTAACTACTAGCAATGCCCCTTATGGTCTGAGGCTACAGTTGTAAACATCCGATACCCTTCTTCATAAAAACGTTACCTGCAGCTGTTCAGTGAACTCGTGGCGTCTGCTCTGAGTTGCACAATTGCTCACAAACCAGGCCGCCATCTTGGTTTTATTTTTAGCTATTTGGACTATATAATAACGAAATAAAAATACAATTACAGTCGAACACGCACATATATAAAAGCTTATGATATACCCTTTTTATTAATAGGCATAATTTGGTAACTTATGCAAGTGTAAACCAAATAACAAATTATATTATGGTGGGATAGTGTGGCCAGCACTATGTATAGCAACTTTTCTTTTTTTTTTCTTAATGGGACCCTGTTACCAGTCTTAGTTGTTTAAAGTCAAACCCGGAATCGTAACTTGAGACTTTCGTGTTAACATTTGTACGCTCTACCAAGATACAGTATTTTTCATAAAACTCACACTATGCCCATAACGCTCATGGTATTCCTCATAAAACTCACATTATTTCTAAAAGAAAAAGACAAATTCCATAAAACACACAGCATTTTCCATAAATCTCACGGTAATTCCCATGAAACTCACCGTATTCTCCATCACTCAGAAGCTGATCTCGGTCTCTCCAGACAAAAAGGTTATTGGGTGCAAAAATATCAGAGTCGACCCTGTAGTTGTAGGTCCAGTTGAAGACACTTCTCCATGATTCATACGGACCTAAAGTACAGAGAAGTGGAGAGTTTTAACACGTACGAAAACCTGTGAGTTTTCAAATTAGTAACATGGAACTAAACGTAATAAAAACTTACTGGGATAATCGTAGTTGACCGGAGATTCCCACATGGCCTTGACCCAAATCTGACCCCTGGGTCGGGCCGGGGGTTCCCCTTTTAAATACCCCACAAAAAAGATGAGTACATCAGCCTCTTGTTTCCTGGTACCTGTCAGGTCGACGGTACACCTGTACTCACACCTGTTAAAGTCACGGTTGAACTGGTTCAAGAGGGGGTCATTAATGAACCAGTTCGGGCTGTTGTACAACGATATGATTTTCATAGGGGTGTTGGTGATGCTGTGATAATGTTTGGAAACGTTTGGGTATAGTTTTGGATTAATGATAAACGGGGATTTAAACTCGTGGTCTTCTACTGGTTCGTACCCCAACTTTTTAAGCTCAATTCTTAACGTGTTGATATCCGTAGTGTTGTTGTTTCTGGGAGAGTTGAACCAAGTCTCGCTGTAGTTGTGGATGGTGTTGAGTAGGGTGACCGGAAGTCCTACGTTGAAGTTCTGAGTAAAACGTGCATCATAGGTGACAAGGGTGGTCAAAAAGACGACGACGATGACGACGATTGAAAAGCGAGTGAAGTGTTTGGAGTATAAGTTCAATTTTAAACTCATGGTTCCTGAAAATAAAAACAGGCATTTTTTTCCTTACATGTACTTAATGGTTTTTATAAGTGTCTATTATCGTTTTTTTTTTGTTTATTACGTAAATTTAGACAAGTCGTTAAAATATAAAATATATGTTATTCTATGCTCGTATACACAATCTAGAAATAAACTGCTATAAAACAGGAAAACATATGTTGGCTTTACTGTGACCGCATTGCTAGTATTATCGGCAATGTGCTGGTAATGTATTGGTGTGATGATTAAAGAATTGATTTTGTATGGCTTAGGTTGTATTTCGTGTTGGACTGGGTTTTTATAGTTTAAATAAAGTAGAGTCTTTATATTATCCTGACCTGATCGTATTAGGGATGATGTAGACCATTATTTGCCCAGCCATATTACTTTTCCTAATATGGGTCAAGTACTTATTAGAGCTGAGTTGACTCGAGAGACGGAGCCGAGCCGAGGATCCAAATTTCGATTAGCAGTCGTGCGCTCTAGTGTTTGACCACGGTGTCCAAAAATTTAAGATTACAATAAAAATAATACTGAAAACCAGCAATTTATATTTAGTTGGGTTGTGTTTCATTTATTTACCGACATGACTAACCCTAAGTGTGTATGTTGATCAGTTTGTTTACACCCCCGTGTTATGAGATCATTTCTTGGAGCCGTGGCAGATCGGTAGAGCGCATAAATGCTAGCCTGTATGTTGCGGGTTCAAATCCTTGGCTAGAGTTTATATGAAATTCACCCAGCTCTTACAGACACCTGACTCACGTTAAGAAAAGTAAACCGTGCTTGGTATAGATCTATACACGCATGTGTCTCGGTAAAAAGAACAGATAAACCATTTCACGGCCATTGCCCCTTTAGTTGCAAAATGTTACATTCTAATTCCGAAAGTTATTATCAATCTTTTTCCCCTGCATGTTGTAAATTTTTTGTTTGGTAGGTTTAATCGATACAACATGTCGGAACTGCAAAGTCGCCGTAGTTCACAAGCGAGATAAGAAGAGAGCAAACATTACAGTGAAAGTAGGCTTAAAGAGATAAAAAAAAGTTGCTCAGTTTTTCGCCGAAGTCTCTGGAAATCGAAAGAGGAAGTTTTAGTTGTATGGGGTAGTCCACATTTTTAGCGAGTGGGGGGGGGGGGGGGGGGTCGTATATTTGTGACGATGGGGACGGAGGAGTTTCAGAAAATGTGGCGTCATACTTTTGCGTTTTAAACGGTAGTGTTTGAAACCGAATTCTTATCTTTATGTCCGCCTTAAGGAAGAATTTTTTGACAGAATTCAGTAAATATGTTCGAAATGAAGGCCATTTCAAGCAACAAAAATTGCAGTTTTTAGAGGTTGGGTAGGGGGGGGGGGGGGTGGCATGCTTATGAGCAACGTCCTTTTAGAGAGGGGGTATGGTTTTGGTGATAATTTGTCACAGTGAAGAAGTGGAGGGGTGGGGTGGGGGGGGGGGGGGGTAAAATCGTTTGCAAAATTTTTTTATATTGATATTTATATTTAGAAATAATGTGTGTTATTGTTGGGGTTTTTTTTTTACAATTTAGCCTACCACGCCGACAAAGCTAAAGTGCATATATCTGTGAAATGAAGGAAAAACGTGACCCAGTTTGTTAGTAATATAGCTAAATTTGCTTCAAAAAAGTCCACAACTTCATTTCGGTCTTCAGATAAATACAATTCAGCGCACAGTGTAATTACGATCAATCTCAGCTTATGCACATTGAATTTCTACTGAACAATTAAGAAATGCATGCATAATAAACCGGCAGTGATCTCCCCTAAACTTTATCGAATATTCTTATATGAAACAATAGGGAATTAGATTTTTTTACTTACATGTGAAATTTCATTTACCTATCTGAAATAGTACTCAAGTTATAGGATTTGGAAAAATTCAAAGTAGAAAAAATTCCACTTCCGTTTATCGGAAATCGCTCAAAAGTTGATACGGATCTACGATTTTGATATAATATTCACATATGAAATTTCATCAACCTAGCTGTAACGGTACTCAAGTTATCGTGTTTACACACACAGACTCACAGACACACACACAGACATACGGACAAGATTGCAAAACTATGTTTTTCCGACTCAGGGAGGTGTAAAACGTCGAAATTTGCAAAATCTCGATTTTTTTTTTGCACGATTACAAGACTTTCTCTATACTTCGTATATACGAGAAATTAAAAAAATGATACATAAAACAAGTACTTTAATAGAAAGTTTGTAAAACGTGTTTACAAACCAGCTCTCCTTTAATATTTACACTCTCGAACACGGTAAGGGCTGTTCACTTGTTCCTATAACCTCGGCAAACGAAGGGACACTGTGGTCAGTGTTTTTCTTTTATGCCTGACACTCTCTAACATGAGTCAGGTACCGGACTCCAGCCAGGGATTAGATCTCGAGATTTCTGGAGTAGCAGTCGTGTTCTTTACCTCCCGGCCACACTGTCCTACTTGCCTGTAGTAAATGTTTAGTTATATGTAGAAATATTTAGAATGAAATGGCTCTTAAAGATATTTTATCTGATCAATCATTGCATTGGCTAGCATGCGCTGTGTCAAAGACAACGCTCTTATCATGAGATGTTTGTGTCAACTGCTGTACAAATAGGCTTTAGCAAATAGTGATATTAAAACGTTTGTATTACTCAAGGCTTTGATGTCAAGTTCTTTTTGTTATCCGGTGTAAGACGTAGGCTACTTCAAAATGACGTTTTAGTAACTAAACAATCTCTGATAGGAATTGTAAATCGGAGGAATACTAGGCTGATGAATACATTTGGTGTACTTTATTGAGAAATAACTTGTTTAAAAAATTATCTATCATTTTCTTCTCAGCTACGTCACGTGTCTCTCATTTTGTTCTCAGCTACGTCACGTGTCTCTCCTTTTCTTCTCAGCAACGTCACGTGTCTCTCCTTTTGTTCACAACCCACGTCACGTGACTCTCATTTTGTTCTCAGCTACGTCACGCAGAGGCGTAGCGACCCTTCCCGGCGCCCGGGGACAAACTTTTCGATTTGCACCCCCTCCTCGAGATTTCGATTTGCACCCTCCCTCAACCTTCAATTTATTTTTCCAAGCCAATTTGGCGCCCCCTAAGGTCGGCGCCGGGGGACATATGCCCCCCCCCTCCCGCCCCCCCTCGCTACGCTACTGACGTCACGTGACTCTCATTTTGTTCTCAGCTACGTCAAGTGTCTCTAATTTTGATCGGATAAGCATACGTGATGTTAACAGCTGCTCTCTTTCTTTTTCTAGAAATAAAGTACTAGCGATAACACTTCAACAATTAGGTTATATTGATTGTATTTTCTGACAGGAGTTGTAAATAATCGTAGCGCGTTGGGAAATAACGGAAATTAAATTCTTGTTCATGCTATTATTTAAATTGTGAAAACGTTTACTTTATAGATAGCCATTATGACTACATCTTGCAAGTTAAGTAAATAAAATTATTATTATAGAGCCTACATACAGTCCAGTGTTAAGCTACGTGGCTGATGAGCTGATAATATTTGCACAAATTAGATTTGTTGATTCGTGGTATGGAATTACGTACCCCATTAATGATTAGGGCTATGTTAGACAGGTTGGAACAAATATCTATGTAAGACATAGTGAACCAAATATCTGCATGAGACATATTAAAGCTAATATCTGCGTAAGACATATTAAACCATATATCTGTATGAGACATATTGGACCAAATATCTGCATGAGACATATTGTACCAAATATCTATGTAAGACATATTAAACCATATATCTGCATGAGACGTATTTACCAAATATCTGCATGAGACATATTGAACCATATATTTGCATAAGACAGATTGAACCAAATATCAGCGTAAGACATATTGTACCAAATATCTGCGTAAAGCAGATTTGGCCATATATCTATTTACACAGATCATTAAACAACTATCTAAGATATATTGGACCAAATATCTGAGTGAGACCGATTGAATCAAACAGCTATATTTATTATTTAACCATTATTACCTTAACAATTTAACTATAAAATATATAATAAACTGATTTAAATAATATAAGTAATTTTTATATTACTTGCCGATGAGTGCAGAAATTGTCAGCGTGTATACAAAGTACAGTGTGCACCTGGTATAATTAGCATAAATCAATGGACTGAAAATTAATATATGATTATTTCTTCGACATTACTTCCTCATTTGTCTAATACATTACACATATTACCATACAAATATAGCAAATGGACAGAAGCTACAATAGCACCCGCTTGAATTGCAGTTTTCCTGAATTGTTCAAACAACACACGACGTTCAATTACCAAACTAGAGGAGGATGTACCAGTTTAGAAATAGAAATCCTTTAATTAGATATTCGATTCTTGAGCTTCATACAGATTTGTACATGCATGCAGCGTTACGTGTATATATGCCACGGTGTAACCGCAACACAGATGTATGGTAAACTGCGAGAGAGAGAGGGCTGCCAAGTTACTATAATAGCTGTAATCGATTGCTTCGCGGATTAGACGCTACTGCAATAAAAACATGGATTTTGTCAGACTTGTTTTCTAAGCGAGGTGGGGAGGGGGATTCGAATTGTTCCGGAGTAAGGGGGGTGGGAAGATTTGTATATAAAAATCTGAATAATAATAGTGGTAGCATGTAGACTTTTTTTTTCTCCATAGAATGACGTTGGGTGGCATTTGTAAAGCAAGTCGTTTTGTTTAGGAGGTGTCAGGCATTTTGTAGAAGCTTGCAAGGCTTTGGTGGAGTGGTTGACAGGTTTTATGAGGTTATGAAGTGGCTGTCAGTTGTTTAGGGGGTTGTGAAGTGGTTTGAATTAGTATTGAGAGCATTGAAAGAGTCGTGTGTTTTGTCGTGAGGTGCTTAGAAGAGGTTCTGTGGGATTTGGGGAAGGTGGGGGGGGGGAGGGAGTATTGTGTTTGGGCCTTAAAATAGCTTATATGAGAGTTTGAGATGGTGTTGTGAGGGGCTTAGGTTGTGTGGGAGTTTGATGCGGTGTATGTAAACGATATAAGGTTCTAATTTAACGAGCCATACTTCCATACGAACAATTATTAGACAGGATGCTGTACGTAGTCAGAAGTTTATTCTTATATAGACATTTGAATGAGTAACATTGATAATATTTCTTTCTTCCTCAGAAACTTAAACCCAACTTTTAAAACAGTCTTGACTAAGAAATCTTTCTTTCAACACCTAGGCTAAGACTCAGACTTTCAATAAAAAAAACAATTGACAAAAATTCTTTCCTGCTCAACATTCTAAACGAACTTCCTTACTTTTCAACAATGTGACGAAAAATAAGATACCTGTTTACTCTAAATAAAAATAAAAAAATATTTACTTTTATTTCCGCTTCATAATGTATTGGCACTAACGTTACTTTGCACTAAATCGATTTTCAACTGAGAAATTATCGATCTGTCTTTTATGTGCAGCGTGTTTTTAAAACTATTGTCTGCCTTGATTGATCTAACCCATGGGTCTCCAAACTACGGCCCGTGGGCCGGATGCTGCCTGCGAGGTCCTCTAATCCGGCACTCGGAGATCTTTTTGTCCTCGAAAAAAAAATGTTTGTTGGAGGTGGCTGAGGAAAAATTCAAAATAAACTGAAAATGTAGCATTGAGTGCAAATACCAGTGAAGCAGTGTTTCTTCCAGACTTTTTTCTTCGGGGGGGGGGGGGGGCACTTGAAATTTTCGGGGGGGGGGGGGGGGGGGCGATAGACTTTCTTCGGGGAGGGGGGGCGGACACTGTTAAAAGTATATATTTTCTATATAAATTATATAAATTTCATTTCGTTTGGATGGTGGGGGGGGGGGGGGGCGGTAGAGTTTTATCGGGGGGGGGGGGGGGGCTTTGTTCCCCCCCCCCCCCCCCCCCGAAGAGATGCCTGGAAGAAACTCTGCAGTGAAGTAAATGTGGCGAGTTGCCCAGCAAATGACCTCCTTAAAGACAAGTTCAAATAAGTCGGCTGGGTTTTCTAACGAAGATCTTCCTAATATTAAAACGTTTGCATTAAAGTAACTTTCAAATTTTGGAACAATATACAAACTTTATCAAGAATAAAAAAGACCTACGTGAAGAACAATTTGAGAACAAACTTGGACCTCGAGTGTGTTGTCGGTCCCCGACAGTATTTCTTGCAGAATTTTTTCTAGGGTGGGGGGGCTCTTGAAATTTATATATATATATATATATATATATATATATATATATATATATATATATATATATATATATATATATATATATATTTATTTATTTATTTATTTATTCACGTAGACGGAAGAAACTCTAGCCCCCCGAAGTGATATTTTTTAGTTAATGCGGCCCTCTGGCTGTAAAGTTTGGAGACCCCTGATCTAACGTATTCAATGTTACCGCTGTATCACATTGTCGACAAAAGCAGGACAAGTTGACGGTTTAAAAATTCGCTAAGATTGATTTGGTCGATGTTGCAAAATCGTGCGAAAAGTATAGGCTTCATTTTGGTCCGGAAAAGGGAGATTTCACATTGGGATATGACTTGGCATATGAGGGATGTTATGGACTACACTTAACTAACATCTGTTACATACAATTTGGTGCAATAGTCTACAATGAACCAGACACATTTACATTCCCTAACTTGAGTCAGGTACTTATCCTAGTTGGGTATACTAGGTTATAGTTTTTTTCTTAAATACTAATCCGTGGTTGTAGTTTAAGCACATGGTTGCTCAACCTATAAATCCCGAGTTCGGACATCTGTAAAGATGAGGTTCTATAGCTGGGGAGATCCACTCATCTACTACAGACAACTCCAATATCAAACAACTGCTGCCTTGTAGTTTGTTCTTGGTTGGACAAAGGCTGTAGAAGCAAATCCAAAAAGAAAAGCAGGCTGAAATCGGAGTCAATGGCCTCAATGGCTCATAACCAGTTGGTAGGTAAACTTAATAGTGTTGGAGGGGATCAATTACCACACTAAAATTATGAACGAAGAAGGAAGAAGAAATATATGTGTTAACACTTTTATCTTATTTCATACAGAAGGTCCTTATGAATCATGGAGAAGTGTCTTCAAGTGGACCTACAACTATAGGGACGACTCGGATATTTTTGCACCCATTAACCTTTTTGTCTGAAGAGACCGAGATCAGCTTCTGAGTGATGGGGAATACTGTGAGTTTTATGGGAAATATAATATGTGTTATGAAAAATGACGTAATTCCTATGTGAAATAAATACTAGCAAATGACATTCAAATGATGTATTGTATTTTTAAATGTGACTACATGTAAATGACAACCATAAATCATTACATTAGACTCGTAAAATACATTATGTTTTCTTAGTCTGGGGTCGGCGTGGTCGAGTCGGTAAAGCTGAAGGTTGCTAAACCGAGTTCTAACCTTCGGGAAGATGAAGCTCGTTAGCTGGGGACAGCCACTCTTCTATGAGAGACAACTCCAAAATCAAACAACTGCTGCCTTGTAGTTTGTTCTTGGTTGGACAAAGGCTATGGAAGCAAATCCAAAAAGAAAAGCAGGCTGAAATCGGAGTCAATGGCCTCAATGGCACATAACCAGTTGACACGTATCGTTAATTGTGATGGAGGCGTGGTCGAGTCGGCAAAAGCTCATGGTTGATAAATTCGAAAAAGTCTCGAAGAAGAAGAAGCTTAGTCTGATATGAGAAATTTATTCAAAGTGTAAGATTATTTTATTAGAAAAAAAAAACCCGAGATGTATATAGGCCTATGTTACAAATAAAAAGAATCACAATAATCAAACAGTTTAATTTTCATTAACGTTATTTACATGCTTATAAATACAATTTTAAACTTCGGTTTATATGTATTATAACGTGTTCTGCTTACCTTAAAAATACCTCAAAAAAAAGAAAATATCCAAGATCAGTCTATTGAAATTTCCCACAAATTACAAACAGTAACATTTCAAGTTAAAATTTTACAGTAGCACATTGTGCATGAATACCTATCTCAAGCAACGCGCTACAACTAATATAAATAGGAATCTATTCTCTATTACGTATAAAAATCGTAGCAATAATTTATCTCTATAAAAACAACGTATATTTCTTTAGTCTCAAAGTATCCACGTATAGAGTATTGTTTCTTTCACTTAGTTTACTAGATTAACCTTCATCAGAATAAAGTAAGTAAAGTTTACCCCCTTTCAAACCTGACGGTCTATGGGGCAAGTGAAGTAGAGTTCACTTGTTTCTATGACCTCGGCATATGAAGCGTTAGTGTGGTCAGCACTATGCCCCGCCGCCTTTGTTCTCCCTAACGTGAGTTAGGTACCCATCAGAGTTGGGTGGACTTACGGGATAGAAGTCCAGCTCTCTACCTCTAGACCACTCCGTCCTACAACTGCAATTCATCAGAATGCAATAATAAAATATCGTATGTCCTCTACTGTGTGTTTTCACATAAAAAGTGTGTGCCTATGTAGTGTGCTAATATTTTGCTAATACGATTTTCAGAAATCAAATATCACACCAACTGTCAATTGAGACAATTATGTTTAAAAGCCACAACAAAGATCAAACAAGTTTCATACATATTAAATATTCGAAAAAGTATTTTTAAAAACCTGTAACACACGTAGTACGTTATGAACAAGCATTTTTAAATACCTAAACACCCCCAAATTCAAGCAGTATATAAAACCATATCACACGTTAAAAGATATAATACCTTAAAATACATCTAAAACAATGGGACTAGGATCTTTATTTACAAAAAATAACACTTATAAAATGTTACGGCTATCACAAATCTGTGGGTTTGTAACACGTATCTTTATGAGACCACTCCCTAATGTCAGGAATTATTTTAACCCTCTTGTCCGTATGAACTTTTTCACATATATCACACCAGTCAAATTTCCTGTTCAAAATCGCTAGTTTATCTTTTTCCTTCAACATTTGTGCGTATCTCAATGGGTCATTTCCTAAATTGATCAGATACTTTGCTAATTCCGTAGCGTTAGAAAACTGTGAAGCGTCGACAAATCCGCCTGGCGGAATATATTTTTGGTAGTCGAAACCGCCCCGCGCTATAGGAATGACATGCAGTCTTTCGGCGAAATTTCGGTAAAATTTTTCCGTCAGGTAATCTTTACAGAGTGAGTTTTCAAAGCTCAGGTAGAATTTGTAGGTTGTTGTCAGCATCTGCTCACACTGTTCTGCATTTTTCTCCTTATTTGGACATTTTAGTGGGCCGCATTTCCCGTAGATATCAACATCTATATATTTCTGTAAAACATTAGAATTATGCAGTTAAAGACGCTAAAAAAACTGTTTTTACAAGCTTTTATTAAACTTACTTCCTCGTCAGTCTGTCGTCAGTCTAGATCGAAACGCCGGAGCGAAATCGCAGGCACTTCTACTTGACAGATACGGTTCTTAATTTGTACGTGGGTCAAGACATGAAGACAATGAATCGTGACATTAAATTTGACTTAATTTGATGTCTAATTAATTTTGTATGAATTAATTAAAATTTTGACCAAATTAGTAGGCATTTCTATCCAACCACACCCCACGCGTCAACACGTTCAATAGGCGCGCAATGGTTTTAGTCATGAAACTCTATTGTAAAAAAAAAATTCATAAAAAACGTTTTAATAACAAGCTTTTATGTGATGATGCACTAAAAAGTAGAAAATAAATTATAGACTACTATCTAAATAACTATAAAGAAAAGCGTGGGTCACTTTAGTATCTATTGGATACCTTTACTAATGTTAAGGAAGACACCCACGCTTTTCTTTATAGTTATTTAGATAGTAGTCTATAATTTATTTTCTACTTTTTAGTGCATCATCACATAAAAGCTTGTTATTAAAACGTTTTTTATGAATTTTTTTTTCAGTACTTTACATGTTTTATTTACAATAGAGTTACATGACTAAAAACCATTGCGCGCCTACTGAACATCACGTTCAGTAGGCGCGCAATGGTTTTTGAACGCAGCCATTACGTGATGGCGCAGCTATTGAAGGTGATGACGCGTGTGGTGTGGTTGGCTAGACATGCCTACTAATTCGGTCCAAATTTTAATTAATTCATAAAAAATTAATTAGGCATCCAATTAAGTCAAATTTAGTTTCAGATTGCATTGTCTTCATGTCTTGACCCACGTGCCAACTGTGAATCGTATCGGTCAAGTAGAACTGTCCGAATTTTCACTCCTGCGTTTCCGTCAAGACAGACAGAGGAAGTGAGTTAAATAAAAGCTTGTAATAAAAATATGTAAAGTACTAAAAAAAATGTCATAAAAAAAGGGTTTAATAACAAGCTTTTATGTACTAATGCACTAAAATGTAGAAAATAAATTATAGACTACTATTTGAATAACTATAAAGAAAAGCGTGGGTCATTTTAGTATCTATTGGATACCTTTACTAATATTTAGGAAGAATCCCACGCTTTTCTTTATAGTTATTCAAATATTAGTCTATAATTTATTTTCTACTTTTTAGTGCATTAGTACCTAACAGCTTGTTATTAAATCGTTTTTTATGAAAAAAAATTTACAATTTGTTTTTCAAAAGAAAATATCTCTGAATGTAAGGAGAATAATAAAGGTTGAAAAAGTTGTCACTATTAGAGTAATACATTTACTAGCTTTGCATATAGCACATAAATCTGAGCTAGTTTTTTTCTTTCGTCCATAAACTTGTAGTTGGGTGCTAGTTTGTAAACTTGTAGTTGGGTGCTAGTTTGTAAACTTGTAGTTGGTTGCTAGTTTGTGAGGTTGTATGGTCATAAAGTTACAAGTCTTTGGGCTTGTTTGCCTGTTTGGCGACTGGCCAAAGGGCTTGTTTTACTACTATTGTATTCAATATTATATAAACTGTAGGTATCGACTGATTTATACTTTATAATGAATTATAATAATTTACATCACTCGATTCACTGCTACTTTTGCTGGATCTAAATAAAGCACACATCATTACATTTGTAAAAAAAACTGCAGTGCCTTGTAATTAAAAGAAAGTAATTTTTTTCACACAATTAGTGATGTAACCACTGTAGTAGGTTTTTTTAACTGTTATTAATACTTGTGACACAAATTTAATAAACTGAACATTTGGCAGAATTTTTTAAGGAAATATACTATAAATGTTATAATTGAGTTATCTCTTCAAACGCTTCGTAATTTAAAAAATCATCCGATAACCTTAATCGATTTGTCTGTCAAGCGAATAATTGATTAATCGATATGCAAGAATTTAAATGTGATTGAAAACAATCACTGTCTTTAAATGAATCAAAAATTTTGATTACGATCTAAACATTTTCAATAACACGTTTAGTTTACGTTAGTTTGGTTTTAAAAAACTAAATTCTGAAGTTCGGTTTTGTTTATAGGCTACTTATCTCCAACCGAGAGTCTAGGGTAATTTTAGTCGTTTGGGTCTTGGTCCAAGGGTTTTTGTCTTTAAGTCTAATGATAACGTTAATTACATTTCCCTAATTAACAGCAAATGCGCATCGTTAATAATACAGGTTCATCCCTATCAAATAATTGTAACTAATTTCCTGCTCATGCCCACCATATTATAGTAGGTAGTTAGTAGTTCTTTTTTTATTATTAATTGTAATAGTACAGGTGATTCCTCTAACACAATTAGGTAACTCCGTCCTGTCAATTAGTTATTCACAAAATGGCCTTTTTTATTTAAACTTCAGCTTGCTATTCTTTCTGGAAATACTTTCTTAGCCTGTGTCCTTCCAAGAACAATTTGCAAACTTACAGTTGTTTAATTTTGGAGTTTTTTCTCCAATATCAGTTGGGGTCCAAACTCGGGAATTTTTTAGTTAGAAATCACGATCCCTCCCACTCGACCACAACGTCCCCATAATTAGCACTAATTACCTGTAGTTCTTTAACGTACTGGTCACGTTTGCTGTTGGCACCACAGTGGCTCACCCACCACGCCGCCATCTTGGTTTTATTTTTGAAGATTCCAACTAATTGAAATGATTGGCACGATTAATTAGTGTTAATTGAATTGAATTATCATAAATTGCTTAAGTAATTACAAAATATACGACTTTATCTCCGTAACCGCAAAATATTTACAAAAACATTCATAATGGCGAAGGAAAATTAAATGAATATTTAAATTTAACATAATGCAGCAATATATATATATATATATATATATATATATATATATATATATATATATATATATATATATATATATATATATATTTATATATATATATATATCCCGTAATTTAGTCCGTAAGATGGATATTCCTGAGCCCACATTGCTCTGAGTCTAACGAAATAAAAAAGTCACTTTAGAGAAAATAATAGCGTTTGTGCATGGTACTGACCACTTCTTCATCTGCCCGATTGATTGCCAGCTCCGAAAAGGTAACTACCATTGTTTATAAATCTACCAAGATGTACTCACGATATTCCCCATCACTTAGCAACAGCGTCCTGTCTCTCCAGGCGAAAAGGTTATTGGGTGCAAAAATATCCGAGTCGACCCTGTAGGTGTAGGTCCAGTTGAAGACACTTCTCCATGATTCATACGGACCTAATAAAAATAGAAGTTGAGAGTTGTAACACAAATCGGAACATAAGAGTTTTCAAATTAATAACACGGAACTAAATAAAAACTTTTAGCTTTTATAAACACAAAAATCAGGCATTCAGAAAACAACCCTGACATTATTTAGTGATGTTTTCAGTGATTTAACTTAACTGAAAATACCCAATAATACCTTTTAAAAACTATTTTCTGACCAAATATTTCTCCAAAAAATACTTACTAGGGTAGCGATAGTGTACCGGAGATTCCCACATGGCCTTGACCCAAATCTGACCCCTGGGTCGGGCCGGGGGTTCCCCTTTTAAATACCCCACAAAAAAGATGAGTACATCGGCCTCTTGTTTCCTGTCACCTGTCAGGTCGACGGTACACCTGTACTCACACCTGTTAAAGTCGCTGTTGAACAGGTTTGACTCTGCGTGATTAATGAACCAGTTCGGGCAGTTGTAGAGCGATATGATTTTCATAGGGTTGTTGGTGATGTTAAGGTAATGTTTGGAAACGTTTGGGTATAGTTTTGGATTTACGATAAACGGGGATTCGAACTCGTGGTCTTCCACTGGTTCGTACCCCAACTTTTTAAGCTCAATTCTTAACGTGTTGATATCTGTAGGGTTGTTGTTTCTGGGAGAGTTGAACCAAATCTCGCTGTAGTTGTGGATGGTGTTGAGTAGGGTGGCCGGGAGTCCTACGACAAAGTTTTGGGTGACCAGTGCGTCGTAGGTGACCAGGGTGGTCAAAAACACGACGATGACGGCGATGGAAAAGTAAGTGAGGTGTTTGGGATAACATGACGTCAACTGTAAACTCATGGTTCCTGGAAATATAAACAGGAAATATTTTCCTTTATATATATATACTAGCCACCGGTACCCGTTTCACGTGAATTATAGGCCTATATATTTTAAAATGTTGTACTTGTTTGAGAAAAATAATTTATGAAATAGTTACTGGTCAAACGCAATGTGCTTTACTACACGCTGAACGATATTAGTGACAAAGCAAAGAAATAACTAATTAGCTAAAAATCCGACACATTTAACATAACACAGGCTTAACCCTGATTAAGTGACTTAAATAATGCCATTAAAAATCTGGCTATTCAATGGTCATTATGTTGTTTTTAAGTAATTTGTATTAGTTTGATCGATAAAATTGTATATATTTCATAGCGTACGTCTTGATGAGTAGATCTATAGATCTAGATCAAATCAAACTTGAATGAAGTAGTCCCTTTCTTTATAGTCTTAAATCGGAACATTCACATATGAAAAAAAATTAAAATTGACTTGGTGTGTCTCGATCCCGCTCCGCCTATGTTGTATTAAGTACACTATATATATATATATATATATATATATATATATATATATATATATATATATATATATATATATATATATATATATATATATATATATATATATTAGCACGCATTAGCCCTAAATTAAGAATCATGAAAAACATTTATCAAAGCTACTCTAACTCTTTTTTAAATTCTAATCACAAAGCTTAAACTAAACCTAAAATTAAACCCACTTCTCGCTCCAAAATTATTTTCTAACATTCAAGTAGCACTAGTTTATATCAGAGTATTGAAAACAAATTTTTAGCAACACAAACCTTATCCAACGAATTTAGAATTTCCAGAGGGAAATCATTATTTAAACACGATCAATATTTAATACTTAATAAAAAAATTGATTGATACTTTTATAATAATATTTTAATTTTACAAAGATAAACACTGACTTCAAGAATTTATATAATGTTTACATTACCTCACTAAAATTGTGTCTTATCAGGAATAGGCTTTGAAATAATTAATCCTTCGTACTACGTCTTTATCTGTTTAATAATTAATAACAATACAAAAATTGCTATGAAATAATAAAATAATGACAAAGGTAACAATAAAACGATTAATAATTTCGTTCAGCTAAATTATTCAAACAACAGCGCACGACGATAAACTAACACCTATAGTTGAATTAGCAGGTTGAGAAAATTGATATCCTCTAAATGAAGTCACGATTTTTCAGCTACGTACAGACATCAATATGTATGCAGCAGAAGGTTTAAATACGCGCTTCGTATTCACAACGTCGATGTGTGGTACACTGTGAAGGAGAGGTAGACACGCAGCTAAAACTGATACAGTGATATGCTTCGCGTCGTATTTACTAAAAGTTATCGGTGCGATAAAAAGGAAAAGGGCTGTTTAACGCATTAATCGATTTTTTAAAACAATAGCCTTACAACCGCATTTGTAAAGGAAGATCTTACACAGGTTGTTATTGGGTTTGCTAGAAGTTGCGGTGGGAGGTGGTTGTGTGGTGTTGAAGGGTTGAGATGGGTTTTAAGGCTGGCGTGAATATGTTGTGGGGAAGGTAGCAAATACGAGTGAATTTTAGCATATTTTCGTATCCTGTTGTGACCGGGTTTCATCTGAGTTTTGACAAACATGACGTGGGTTAAAGAGGTGTATACAAAAATTTATCGATTGTAGTTGAAAGACAGGGTTGAATTTTATTTTTAGCAGCTGCACTCCTGATTTGTATAATTCAGTTTAGTATAATTCAGTTGAGTATAATTCAGTTTAGTATAATTCAAACTGAGCTTTTTAAAATCTGTGCCACTCTGACTTAGTTTTCCAAGTTAACTAGTAATCCGGAATAAACTATAGCAGTCTCCTATAATTCAGTCTAAGCATAACGCCGAACTTACCATTCTCCTTCGTTGTTCTTAAGAGTAATATCGAAGGGTATTTTCTCCAAAACAATGAAGCATTACGTGTCAACATGTTATGTACCATAAGGCACGTTACTACGATTTCAGCTTGTTGTTTTTTCTGGATTCGCTTCCGTAGCCTTTGTCTATCCAAGTTTACTCTGAAATGCAACAATTGTTTGATTTTAGAGTTTTCTCTCCTAGATAAGTTGCTATACTAAGCTAACAAGCCCCATCTGTTCGGGGCCCGCATATCGGACTTTTGGAGTTAGCTAATATGTTTGACCTCCCCGCACTAAAATTACTCTTGATTAATATCATCTCTCGCTCGAATTGTTAAAACATTCTAAAGTTATTTGTTTACAGTTTGATTTTCCACTGGATAATATCGATCAGCTTAAGGCGTGCACTCGATACTTAACACACTACGCCTTGGGTGATCTAACCTTAGAGAACTGTCTCCCTTATATCCCACATAGTTATTGGCAGCTTATGACGTTTTATAGTTTGTTCGATTAAGTGTGATCGTTATTCAAAATCGTGCTAGAAGTAAGAAAAGTAAATTTCACGCTTACCACCTATGAATACATTGGGCAGAATAAGTTGAGTCCACAAGTTTATATTTCCTTGCAGATGAAGAAAACGATGGTCAGCGCTTTGCCAAGCTTCTTTTAATTTCCCTACCGTTAGTCAGGTACAGACTTCTAGATTTTAAGTTAGCATCCTATCCTAACATCCTATCCTCTTCAAAGGATAAGGTTGCTATGTTTACTTAAATACTAACAGGCAAAGCAATTACAACAGCAGTTTTTTAATTACATGGAAATAATAAATCAAATTCTCTATAAAATAATAACCACATTAGTCATTGAAATGTGGTATATGATTTTAGAAGCAACAAACGCAAATGTCGTATTTTCGATAAAAAATTATATATTGGAGGTTCTGTGAGAGTTTAGGTGGGTGTTGGGAGGTCTTAGAAAATTGTATGTAGCTACTACTGAAGGACTAGTGTAATGAAGTATACATAATATATGCTTTGTATATGTAAGGTATGTTAGGTTCTGATTTAAACAGCAATACTTCCTTACTAAAAATAATTTGACAGAATGTTGTACGTCTTCGGAAGTTTATTTTTAACATTGACATTTCATCAGAAACTTCTATAAACAGCCTTGACGAAGAAAACTTTCTTTCAACACGAGCGGAACTCAAACTTTCAATTAAAAAACCATTGACTAAGCTTCTTTCCTGCTCAACATAGATCAACTTCATCTCTCTTCAACTACGTTACTCTACAGCTACACAAAAGTGCTCTAACTTTTATCTCCGCGTCATAATTTCATTCACTCATTCTATATTGGCTTCAACATTCATTTGCACTAAATCGAATTTCAACTGAGAAATTATTGATCCGTCCTGTATGTGCAACATATACGTAAAACTACTGTCTACTTTGATTGATCTAACCTAATCAATTTTACCGCTGTATCACATTGTCGACAAAAGCAGGTGTTGACGTTTTAAAATTCGTTAGGATTGATTTGGTCGATGTTTCAAAAAGATGAGTTCACGTTTTTATATGACCTTGGCACGTGACGGAAGTTATGGTCCTCCTGAACCAGCTACATGTACATTCCCTAACTTGAGTCAGTTACCCATCTTAGTTAAGTAGACTTGGTGCTAGTTTTTCTTCAACACAGACCAGTGATTGGGTAAAATTATGACTACTGTACTGATAAGTCCTGATATCGAAAACACCCGGGCAGATGAGGCTCGTTAGCTGGGGACAGCCACTCTTCTAGGAGAGACAACTCCAAAATCAAACAACTGCTGCCTTATATGTTGTTCTTGGTTGGACAAAGGCTATGGAGGCAAATCCAAAAAGAAAAGCAGGCTGAAATCGGAGTCATCGGCCTATATGTCACATAACCAGCTGACACGTATACTTAGTTGTGTTGGAGGGAATCTCTTCCAACACTAAAGTTAAGAAGAAAGCAGAATAACACTACTCCTTAAAACAATTAACTGCATTTGTCACTTAAATATAGTATCTGATTCCAAAAGCAGCAAACACAAATTTAATATTTCGCTATTGAAAATTATATATGTGTGCATTTTCTTCGGGAATGCGCTTATTGTGAAATTACTGCGGCGTCATAAGCAAAGTGACATTAACTTTAACCAACCATTAGGCCAACAATGTAGTAGTTCACTTTTTGTTCAATATTTCATGCGCAAATAAATACGAGCAAATTACAATCAAAATGATGTATTGTATTTTTAAAGATTATTTTATTAGAAAAACAAACCGATTTTTATCTGTCACCAATAAAAAGAATCACAATAATTTAACAGTTAAATTAACATTAACATTATTTACATTTCAAACATGTTTATAAATATAATGTATGATTTCGACATACACGATTAAAACGTATTCTTCTAACCTCAAAAATACCTCTGAAGAATAAAATATCCAAGGAAATAGTCTATTGAAATCTCCGCTCAAATTACAAAAAAAAACATTAGCACATTGTGCATAAATACCGATCACAAGCAAAATTTTACTATTAATATGACTAAATAGTATAAAAATCACAGCAATAATTATTGTCTGTAAAAAGACAAAGTATATTTCTATTGTCTCAAATTATTCACCTTTAGAGTATTGTTTCTTTCACATAGTTTATTAGATTAGCTGCCATCTTAATGCAATAATAAAATATTAGAAGTCATTTACTGAGTATTTTCAGCAACAAATGGGAACCTATTATTTTGCTAATACGTCCTTTAGAAACCTTATAACACACAAACTGTCAAGTAACACAATTATGCTTTAAAGCCACACGAAATCAAATAAGTTTCACATTTTAAAGCGTCAAAAAAATATTTAAAAAACAGTAACACACATAGAGATCTAGTAAATTCCATAAAAGCTCCAAAATTCATGCTGTATATTTCTTTTAAGCATAGCTCAAATCTAAAAAAAATGTTAAATATATTTTTAAAACCATATCACACATTAAAAGACATCTTTGAATACTTAAGCGCACATCTAAAACGATGGGACTAGCATCTTAAAAAAAACAACACATTCGTAATATTGTTTAGGGCTATAGCAAGTCTGTAGGTTTGTAACACGTATCTTTATGAGACCACTCCCTAATGTCAGGAATTATTTTAACCCTCTTATCCGTATGAACTTTTTCACATATATCACACCAGTCAAATTTCCTGTTCAACATCGCTAGTTTATCTTTCTCCTTCAGCATTTGAGCGTATCTTAACGGATCATTTCCCAGTTCGATCAAATACTTCGCTAAATCCGAGGCGTTGGGAAACTGTGAAGCGTCGACAAATCCGCCAGGCGGAATATATTTCTGGTAGTCAAAACCGCCCCGCGCTACAGGAATGACTTGCAGTCGTTCAGCGAAATTTCGGTAAAATTTTTCCGTCAGGTAATCCTTACAGAGTGAGTTTTCAAAGCTCAGGTAGAATTTGTAGGTAGTGTTCAACAGCTGCTCACACTGTTCTGCATTTTTCTCCTTATTTGGACATTTTAGTGGGCCGCATTTCCCGTAGATATCGACCTCAAAATATTTCTGTAGAGCAATAGAATGATGGAGTATAAATTAAAAAAAAACAAACAAAAAAAAATCATGATTTTTACAACATGTTATTCCAAAGAAAATATCTCTGAATTTAAGTAGTATAATAAAGGTTTCAAAAGTTCTCAACATTAGAGTAATATAAGTAGTAGCTTTGTAATTAGCAGAGTTTCTTCCCGGCATCTCTTCGGGAGAGCGGAGCCCCCCCCCTCCCCCCCCCCCCCCCCCGAACGAAACGGAATTTATATAGAAAATACATACTTCTAACAGTGTCAGCCCCCACCCCTTCCGGAAATTTTAGTCCGCCCCCACCCTCCAAAATTTCAAGTGCTCCCCCTCCCCCCCCCCCCCCCCCCGGAGAAAAAAGTCTGGAAGAAACACTGGTAAAAATCACCTAAGTCTGAGCTTGTTTGTGAATTGGTCAGTAAAATTGTAGTACGGTACTACTTTGTGTGGTTGTTGGGTTATTAAGTTACTAGTCATTAGGCTTGTTTTGGCGTTATATTACGGTAAGTGGTCTTTTTGGTTCCTGTCAGTGGGCTTGTTTGGCAGTTCAGACACTGGTCAGTTGAAGTGTTTGGCTATTATTTTATTATATATTATGTATACTGTAGGTAGCGACTGAATTATACTTCATCTTGAATTATCATTATTGACATTATTCGATTTACTGCAATATTAGCTGCGTCTAAATGAAATGAACATCATCACAGTTGGAAAACTGCAATAACTAGTAATTAAAAGAAATTGTTTCTACATATAGTTCGTACTAACGTTTATGTAACCACTGTAGTAGATTTTTTTAAAAATATAAAGTCAATACTTGTGACATTAATAAACTGAACATTTAGCAGAATTTTTAAAGGGACGCTACCTAAGAAAATATACTATAAAGGTTATTCTTGAGTTACTTCTCCATATGATCGTAATTTTTTTTTAAACCTTACAAAGAAATTGATCGATTTGTCTCTCAAGCGAATCATTGATCATTCTAACATATGTAAGTAGTTAGGTGGGATAAAAAAAACCAAATATTTAAATGTAACATATGTTTTGATTATGATCTAAACATGTTTACCAAAATGTATATGAAGTTTTGCTTACGTTTAGTTTGTTTTATAAAACTTATTTCAGAGCTAATGAAGATAGGTTGTGTTTATAATTTTTTCCAGCGAAATTGATGTCCTTTGTGTTTTTTTGTCACTGGGTGTTTGGTCTAAGGTTGTTTTCTTTTAATTCCAACTACAGTCTGTTTTATTTTCACGGTGTGTCACCGCATTTGCCCATCAAAGAAAAGTGTTTATTTTCGTCTGGCATTTCTTCGGGGAGGGGGGGGGGGGGGTGGATCGTCGTTCCACCCTTATTTCCCTAAAGCACGCCCCATGGCGTCTCGAACAATATATACTTTAACTAGTGCCACCCCTTCCGCAAAACACCTAATTAGCACCCCTACTTTGCACTAATTACCTGTAGTTGTTTAGCGTACTGGTCACGTTTGCTGTTGGCTCCACAGTGGCTCACCCACCACGCGGCCATCTTGGTTTTATTTTTGGCGATTCTAACTGTATAAAAAGATAAACACAAATAACTTGTGTTAATGAATTAGAAGATATAGTTTAGTAATTACCGAATATACAGCATATTGTCGCAGTAACCCGTAAAAAATTTATTAAAAGAAATTCATTTATAAAAGAAGGAACCTAAAATGACTTCTTAATTTTATAATAATGTACCAATATATATATATATATATATTTATATATATATATATATTTATATATATATATATATATATATATATATATACATATACATATATATATATATATGTGTGTGTAAATATATATATATATATATATATATATATATATATATATATATATATATATATATATATATATATATATAATATGGGACAGAGTGGTAGGTTGATAGAGCACCCGACTGCTAAACTAAAAGTTACGAGGTCGAATATCGTGTTGCGGTCCGTATGACGGATATCCATGCGTCCACCTTGCTATGAGTCTAATGGGTACCTGGGTCACTTTAGGGAAAATAAAGGAGGGCGAACAGAGTGCTGATTACAGTATCCCTTCATGTGCCGAGTTCACTCAAACAGGTGAACTCTACTTCAACTGCCCCATTAATCGCTAGCTCCGAATAGATAACTACCAATGTTTATAAACCTACAAAGAAGTACTCACGATATTCCTCGTCACTTAGCAACATCGTCCTGTCTCTCCAGGCGAAAAGGTTATTTGGTGCAAAAATATCCGAGTCGACCCTGTAGTTGTAGGTCCAGTTGAAGACACTTCTCCAGAGGTCATACTGACCTAGAGAGGTTGAACGAAAGAAAAGTTTTTAGTACTGAACAAAATAATCCAATACCTTTTGATGATGAACTGTTGTCTAGTTAGGCGATTTAAGAATTTATATATATATATATATATATATATATATATATATATATATATATATATATATATATATATGCATATATCACAGAGAGACAGACAGTGCAGACAGTGTGAACTAAATAAGAGCTATAATAAACATTAATGTAAACTGTTTTGATTTGAAAGGGACATTTCGGGACCACTGCTCGCATAAACAATTGTGTCAGTTGCGTCTCAATATCCTGGAGTGGGCAGTGGCAATGTTTTTTTTTTAGACATTTTTCTTTGGGGAGAGGGGCACATAAAACGTTTAACATGGGATAGGGGGTGGGGGTTGGTATTGGTTCTTTCAGACATTTTTCTTTCGGGAGATGGGCCCTTGTAAGTTTACCGGTGCGGACTTAAATTTTCTATATCCATAGGTTGTGGGGTCCTGGGGAATGGGAGGGGGGGGGGGGGGTATTAATACCTCAGTAGATTTTTCTACAGTCGAGGCTAGATTGACAAATATGATTTGGGTTGAAGTTTAGGATATAGCCTATGCCAAGGCTAAGTTCAAGATTAGCATATATTGGTTGATGTTGGTAACGAAATGTTAGCATTGATATACCAAAGATTTCGAGCTAGAAATTAGGAAGATTATGTTTTGTCGTAGAATTGTTGTAAAGACTAGCAATGTAGCGATGGTTAAGGTAACGAAACTTGGTTAAGAAAAACACACGCGAAAATCACGCATCCAGAAAAACATTCTTTTTTCGTGTAACGGTGATTTAATCAGTGATTTTTCCAGACTTTTGTCTCGGGGGGGGGGGGCACTTGAAATTATCTGGGGGAGAGGGGGGGGGGCTTAAATTTCGGGAAGGGGTGGACACTGCTAAAAATATATATAAAATTCCATTTCGTTCGTGGGGGGGGGGTGCGGGGGCGGTAGACTATCTCCGACCTCCACCCCCCCCCCCATCGAAGAGATGCCTTAAAGAAACACTAGATTTAACTTAAATTGAAAAAAATAAAAAAATAAAATGTGTATCAACTGTTTCTAAACGTAAACATTTCTCCAAAAAAATACTCACTAGGGTAATCATAGTGCACCGGGGACTCCCACATGGCCTTGACCCAAATCTGTCCCGGGGTCGGGCGGGGGTTCCCCTTTCAAAGACCCCACAAAGAAGATGAGTACGTCAGCCTCTTGCTTCTGTTTTCCCGTAACGTCAACGACACATCTATCGTACTCACAGCGTTTGAAGTCTATATTGTAAGCGATGGCACCGTATAAGTTTTCTAAACCATCCTGGGCTATTAAAAAATGAAATAATTTTAATCGAATCGGCGTTTCCGTGAGATTTTGTTTTGTTTTGGAAACGTTTGGGTATATTTTTGGATTAATAATAAACGGGGATTTGAACTCGTGGTCTTCCACTGGTTCGTACCCCAACTTTTTAAGCTCAATTCTTAACGTGTTGATATCTGTAGGGTTGTTGTTTCTGGAGAGTTGAACCAAGTCTCGCTGTAGTTGTGGATGGTGTTGAGTAGGGTGGATGGAAGTCCTGCGACAAAGTTCTGAGAGACCAGTGCGTCGTAGGTGACTAGGGTGGTCAGAGAGATGACGATGACGACGATGGAGATGGGTCTGTAATATTTGGAGCAGAATGACGTCAGTTGTGAGCTCATGACTCCTGGAAATAGAAACAGGCGTTGGTTAATGTATTGTCTGTGTTTGTTATTTTCTTGATTGTGGATGTTGTTAAATGTGTTGGATTTGTTTTTTGTGCTTAGTGAGTTGACATATTGTCTAGCTGGCTGTGTTTATTTGTATTATATTTGTCATTAATTATCTTCACGTCTAACAAAAATTGATAATTTAAGTTGTAATTCAATCTTTTTTACTTATTTGTTTGGAGAGGATTTTCTCTATTTGTTTTCTGGCTAACAAGCAATTAAAACTTTAAAAAAAAAAGGAATCGAGTTCGGATCTCGGTCCGACTCGGACGTTTGTGTCCAAGGCAGTGGCGTAGCGAGGTCGGGTGTCACCCGGTGCGGCCGTAAATGGTGTCACCCCCCCAGAGACAAACTTTCAAATTTTCGATTTGCACCCGCCCCCCCCCCCCCCCCCCCCCCCCACTCAAACTTTCGATTTGCACCCCCCCCCCCCTCAAGTTTTTCTCTATATATTTTGCTATTTTTGCCTTGGTGTCACCCCCCTTAATGGTGTCACCCGGTGCGGTCCGCCACCCCCTCGCTACGCCTCTTGTCCAAGGTTCCAGTATTTGAGGTCTATGAGTCCTCCTATCTCTAATGGGTACCTGATTTACATTAGGGAAAGTAAAGGTGGTTGGGAATAGTGCTGAACAAACCTTCTTCTTCTTCTTCGTTCTTAATTTTTAGTGTTGGGAGGGATCGAGACTTATCTGTCAGAGGGTTTGAACTCGAGACTTTTTTCGAATGTATCAACCATGAGCTTTGCCGACTCGACCATGCTTCCATCACAATTAAGGATTACGTGTCAACTGTTTATGCGCCATTGAGGCCATTGACTCCGATTTCAGCCTGCTTTTCTTTATGGATTTGCTTCCATAGCCTTTGTCCAACCAAGAACAAACAGTTGTTTGATTTTGGTGTTGTCTCTCCTAGAAGAGTGGCTGTCCCCAGCTAACGAGCCTCATCTTCCCGAGGGTTCGAACTCGAGACTTTTCGGTTTAGCAACCATGAGCTTTACCGACTCGACCACGCCGACCCATGCTGAACACACCATCTCTTCATATTCCGAGGTTAAGTATCGGTGAATCTTTAGTTCTAAACGGGAAACTTTATTTTACTTTATTATACTAGTAGGTTTATTCTTCTGTTAGGAATTTGGGTTGCGGTGTCTGGTTTTATGGTTATGAATTATCACGGGTCTTAAAGTATTGTGGTGTGTTGTTATGGGCTGTTTTGTCATGATTCTGTTATGGGTGAAGATGTAAATACAGCCCAAACTGTGATCCAAATGGCCGTTGATATGAAATATTGGTCTTGATGGGATATTATGGTCGTTGTTGTTTTTATATGGTTAAGTATATGTTGTTATCAGAAATCGTGTAGTAACGGATCATAATATGTTTTTTGTAGTGTTTAGTTATATGATATTGTTCACTGTGTTTTGTTATGTAAAATTGTTCATAGTATTTTGTTATGTGTACGTGTTCATAGTGTTTTGTTATTCGAACTTGTTCATACTGTTTTGTTATTTAAACTTGTTCATAGTGTGATGTTATTTGAACTTGTTCATAGTGTTTTGTTAAGATAAATATTAATTTACTTCATTTATCAAAAAACCTAAAAGCATCAAACATTTTAAAACGATCTATAGATAATCTACTTTTCCCTATCCTCTTCCTATTTTCATGGATTTATCAATACGCCCACTTCAAATATCAAACAAATATGTTTTTCTCCATAAAATTAAACACGCTAGATATTTTATTATTATAGGCACACGAAAACAATAATCTATAAGTAGAGTGCATCACACCTGTGGACAGATTAGCTTTCACAAAACGTTTAATCGATTGGATAATCTCATTGCTTATGTTAGAAAGGGATATTGTGCGTGGATCATCTGTCAATTGATTTTTTTATTCCTAGTGTAACACATATGGTTACCAGCCAAAGGGGGATAAAAATATGAAGTTTTTATTCATTGGGTTGCGGCCCCTGTGGGATCGCAACTGAACTGTTGACGTTTTTTTATGCTTTTGTGAGCGAAATTACCTGTGTTTCATGTCATGTGACATGGGATTGTGGGTAGTTTCATGCCTAGCCGTGTCGCACACGCAAGGCTGCTGTCTGTGGACCAAGATGTAGACCTAATGAAGGTAGTTATATAAATTATGTTTGTTAAAATACTTAGCTGTTCATTCCTGCTAGTGCTGCATGTGCACACTAGTTAGGGTGAGTATTAATATAAGTATTTATTTGAAGTACTACGTATTGGTACTTGTTGGCAGTACTGTGTACTGGCCAAAACATATTTTATTGTTACCCGTGTATATTGTAGCCTACACATGGTGTTGTCAGGAATGTAACTTTTTTTTATTTACATTTGTTTTAGGGCTACAGTTTCTCTTTTGGTTTTTTGATCTTTTGGTCTATCTTGGCTAGTTCGTTTGTACTACTGTGTTGCATCGCCGTCATGGCTCGATGCTATAAATAAACGAGTACTTGACAACAACTGTCGGCGTCGGTGTGTACTTAATCTCAGGGTCAGTCCGTCTTAAACCACAACACCTCAGTGGGTAAAAGCATCCCCACTGAGTGAGGGTTACACTAGCTTAGAAAACAATTGACTAATTTTACAAACAAAATCATAAGGGTATGTTAAATTTTATATTTTTCATTATTTATCTTCATGTCTGACAAAAATTGATAATTTAAGTTGTAATTCAATCTCTGGTTCTTAATTAAATGTCTCAATATTTAGAAATTCGACTATTTTTTTAAAATTGATTTTCTCTAAACACTCTCAAACATCTTAGTAGACATAGCGATAGAATGGCTAGCTTACTTTTTCTTCATCTTCGTTCTTAATTGTTGGAAGGGATTTCATCCAACACAATTATTTCTTGTTTACATATTGTTATGGCCCGTTGACTAAAATTTCTAAAGATAATTAGGGAGCTATGTTAATTAGTGGAGACAGTTAAACACGGAGACAAGTAAATTATGTCGACATGACAATTTGGGAAGACGATTTAATAAGTTGAGACAATTTAATATGAGAGATAGGTAAATTAGAGCGACATATTAATTAGAAAGTCAATTGATTTAATAAATGTAGGCAAGTTAATATTAGAGACAGAATGAAAGACAAGGAATACTGGGAAAATCAAAATAAAACGAAATATTCACAAATAGTTAATCCTCTCTATTCTAAGCTTTAAATGGAACCAAATTGAATAAGAAGATGAAGATTTAACCATTCATTATAATTTAAGTTGCACTCAGTGGCGGAACTAGAAAAAAGGACCACCCCGCAAAAAAAATGTGGGCCCCATATATATATATATATATATATATATATATATATATATATATATATATATATATATATATATATATATATATATATATATAACAAAATACAAAACTATGAACATAGAATACTCAATACGTGCTTGTTCGAAATTTGAAAGGATTAAAACTAATTTTTTTATTTTCAATTTAAACATGTTACAACACATCATTTGTGTGGGTCCTGTTAGATCTAGTCTGTTTTGAAATTCTTTTTTTTCATTTTTGACAGAGTGCATTTTAATTAACTATCAAAAGATTATGAAGCATGAAAGCATTGTATGTGTAATGGTTTCTCGCCTTGTTTATTTTATGTTTTTTTTTAAATTTATTTTATTAGTTTTTAATACATTTCCTTTTTTAAACTATGTTATTCTGTATTTTATGTTTTTTAAATAACAATCAACAGAAGTAATTGCTTTTTATTTTGTTTAGTGCAAATCTATTTAAAGTTTCTTAACACCACACATATTTGACTATTTAAAAAAGGGAAATAAGTCATTGAAGTGGTTTGAACGTTTGCCTATCTTTCACACTACAACTCATATAGCCTATATATATTTTCCTTTACTAAACAGCGTGCGTTAGCTACTGTAGAACATCACTACTGTAGTAGATCTGTTTTCTTATTTTACAAGAAAATTATTTTTTTTAACTATAAAAAATTGATTATGGTCGGCTCTGGGCCCCTATACGTCACTTGCCCCCCCCCCCCCCGCATTGCGGGGTCTGGCTGCACTGTAGTTCCGCCCCTGGTACACTAAGTTATGTTTCCCGTTTGTGCCCAAGACACATGGGGCAGATCAAGTAGAGTTTATCTGTTTCAATGCCCACGGCGAACAAGGAAAAGTATGATCGGTACAATGCCCAGACGCCTTTGTTTCCCAAACGAGAGATGTCCTTTAGAGCTGGGTGGACTCAGGGACGTCAAAAAGTTTGGAGCCTAGTGCCTTAACATTTAGAAATTCAACTTACCATCCCATTCTTCAAATTGCTAGTTATAACAAAGTGTTATTGTTAAAATATTTTTCCCGGTAATTGATTTTAGGTGTGTATTTTACACTTTTCCACTTGAATTATCGGACTCAGCGCATTAGGTCTGAATGAATAGAGTACGTAACATGTAATTAATTTAATTACACACTAACTGAATTGCGAAATTGTTACACAGCTAATTTAAAAATAAACAATGCATACGTGTGTCTGTTAAAGTATACGTCGGCAGGATAAAGTCATTCAAGTTAAGAAATCGACTATATTAATTATATTATTACATGCTAAAATATATTATTTTTACCTTGTGACATGTCCTAATAATTATAAAACGTAACTGCAATTACCCTTTTCTTTACAATACCCTTTATAACAATGCCTACACATTATACCTGCTTTATCAAGCTTAAAGATTCATGGCTAGCTGATTACAAAGACCACATATCGATCCTAATGACGTGTATCCCATGGAGATCTTCAACCGATACTCCTTTAACCCTGTAAGTTTCGTGTATGATTGGCTGACTACAAATCCATATGGGCGTTGAAAAGAGGTACTCAATTTACCGCTGAGCGTATTGAAAATGTTAATACGGTTTGTAAGTAGGTCACCAAATTCTCGTTTTTTACTTGT